TGTTTTTCTCGTTGCCATGTTCCCACCAATAACGTAGCTCCATTTTCTGCCTTTAAAAGCACACACAACCCACAATTCCTCTATTCGCTACGACGAAGGGCTAACGCTCGAAACGTCAGCTTTTGTAATCGTTACGGTGGCCAATTTACCATTTCAACTTTGTTAATATATCCAAATTATTTCGTTACTCCCCCCGACGCAGCCCCAAACAGTTTCTTTGGAAACTATCAGCCTTTATCCTTTTTAAAGAAGCCATAAATTCGTTGCAAAATATTTCTAAAACATAATGAAGTAATGAATAGAGCCAAATAACAATACGAAATATCCTCTTTAGTTAACGCTTGCTTTTCTTGGCGCTTGTTTCATATTAATGGTGTCTTTATTGTTTCAGATCTAATCCTCAAGAAAGGATTGTGGCAAGGTAATGTGTTGTTCAATGCAAACTTTATCTTGATTTATAGTCTTTTAGGGAAAAAAAGTGTCACACTGCTATTACCATGATGATGAAGTTTTACAGTCGTTAAGGGTGTTTAATTTGGTTTGCATTTATTTTAGTTGCCATAAAAAGCTAAATGTCCATAATATGTGGCAAAAAATCAGTTAAAAGTGTGAATTACTTATTCTTACTGGTCAGTGAGATGTTAATTTTACCTCGTTTCATTTCGAGAGCCTTTTGATTGAGTGTCGTAAAACCAAAATCATAGTAACCACATCAGCCAATCTGAGGAGAGGAAAATACCGTTAAGAGCCAATGAGAACTTAACGTAACACCGACCAAGCTACCTAAAGCGCGGGAAAATGCGTGCGACCAAGTGGTGTGAGTTTTCTGGACCAATCACAGAGTGAAGTAAAGCAAAAACAAAAGAAATCCCGGATTACTCTCGACTCACCATTGAAAATTGCTATAATGTTGTAGTTTAATAGATGTAGCCATAAAATTCTATACCGAAGGTTCAGTTTGGCAAAAGAAAAGGCTTTTCCATTACAGCTTCTCATTAGAATAGGTGATATTTTAAGAACTCCTCGCTTTTATTATGTCAAGGTTAAGTATGGATTTTTCAGCTTAATGCGAGGTAAAGAAAAGTTCTTTCCATAAAAATGAGACTTATCTTAAATATTTCTCACTTACATTCCATTCCTTTTGATAACGGAGGTAGTGAAAATACTATTTTGATAACGAATTTTGAATCTTTGTTTTTTATTTAGTTTAAGCTGTTAAAGCCCAGTTGATGTCAGAAAAAGGAATCGGGATGTGCGCGACTTTCTTAGTTTTTCTAAGAATCATTCCCGCTTTGGTGGATTCTTTGTCAATTGTACAGGGATTCAAGGAAAAGCATTTTGAAGGCTTTGCAAGTAAATAAAATCTGCATTGTAACTAAGCGACC